TACAGAAGTTGCACTTTATTTTGATATATAGTTTGTTGGGGGTAAATAATTTGCATTATATAAATATTTTAGTTTTTCTTTCGACAAATCTTTAAAACTTACCTTTTTTTGTCGACTTTTATAATTTTTCCTTGGTGGATATTTTCGAATGTTACTTCGTTGGCTAGCTCTTCTTTTCAGCTTTCAGATGACAACAAAAACATGCGTGTGCAAGTAATAGCGGAAAATCCCCGAGACGTTTTCTAATGCCTTGTCAAGGAGCGCATTTGCACCTAAGCGCTGCTGTGCTGTCAGCAGCTGTACAATGCTGCTAAACTGCGCGTAACATGTTTCAATCAACTCTTATTAGACTACGTTTTTTAATGTCAAATCTAGCTTTGTTCTATATGATTTGAAAGAGCAACACCTGCCCTTTTATATGGTATAAAAATATAGGGGGTTACTATTAAATTTAATACTGAAATTAAACCTTGAAAATGACCTTTTTGGCCCTTTTAAGCAGGGTTTTCTGTGCGTTATGTGCTTGCTGCCGGTACCTACTTTCAGATAATGAGATAATAAGAAGGATTTAACATTTTAAGCATTAGATATTCAAGTGAAGAAAGTTGAATAATTAGAAAATGTAGAGGATAATTTTTTTTTATCAGAAAACCAGGTTAAAATATAAGGGTGTGTTCACAATGAAACAATCAAACCAGGTAATTCCTACTAACTTCTGGCTGAATGCAATCAGATAAACACACCTCCTCTTGTACCCTCACCAACTTTTTTTGTGTTCTACTCAAAGCTACATATGTTAATCTGTTAGTTTAATTGCATTCAGCTAGGGGTCTCCCTGGAGTTGCCTCGAACTACTTAGTGCAATAGTTTCATACGTACCTTAATTATATTATAAGGTAAACAGAAAACCCCAACTGCTGCTGAACGTGTGCCCACTACATACCTGTGCCTCAGTGAAAGGGTTGGGCATATTATCCAGCAGACTGGCCAGGTCCTGCTCACAGTAACTCATCACAAGGAATATGCTGAGAACACACCAAGAAAGATTGGTGATTTTATTTGGTACGTTTTAGATTTTAAGTTTAAATCTCTATATTGTAGAAAGTGCAATCTTAAGATTTTATCATTATTATTATTATTATTATTATTATAATTACTACCACTACAGAGGCATAAACCTAATATGGGCATTTTTACAATCCTGGGCTCCTTTTTTTCCCACCAAGGGTCAAAAATAGAAATCATTATTGTGTTGAAATTTGTACTTTTCTTGAAAGTATAGACCTGAAGGGTATAAGAAATGACAATCCCGAGATAAAACCCTGTGTATGTATAAAGATATGATTATTTGAATTTTGAAAATCATTTTTTTAATTATCATAAGCTAAACCTTGAAGTGTGTGACTTTTATGATAATTTAAGGTATTGATCTCCAAAAAACCACTTAGTTTTACTCAGAGAGTATTGCTCTTTTATGTATTTGCAAAAAAAATGGATGAAAATATCCAAAATTTGACGAATCAATGATATTTTGTAATTTTCCTGTTTCAGTATTAAATGTGACTCCATGAAGTTTTTGATTCTGAGATATTCTGAGGACTTCTGTACTTCACTTTACCTTGCATTAGTTCTTTATGTTATGCTTCATGATTGTGCAAAATATTATTTTGCGCGGACATGTGTGCTAATTGCAGTGTCATGTTAAAATAAATGTCCTTTCCGAAACATCCCTGTTTCGGAAAGGACATTTTTTTAAACATTTATGATATTGTTTAAATATATTGTAGTATATGAGTTTATAAGTTTTAGGTAAAGTCTATGAATAACTGGGCAAAATAGGTGGAAGCTGAACTGAATTGATGTCTTTTTATTACATTTTGTACTTGTTTTGTCTATTCTGTACTAGTAATTCATTACTGGAATTTTATTTTATTAAATATTGATTCTGAGATATATTCCAGGTATTCTTTATGCCATTATACCTTATTCCAGTTTCTTTTGTTACAGTTCATAGCTGTATAAAATATTATTTGACAATGTCAGATTTACCAACAGTAAAGACATGTTTAAAAATATGTCCTTTTAGACATGTCCNGTTTTAAGTAAAGTCTATGAACAACTGGGCAAAATAGGCGGAAGCTGAACTAAAATTGAAGTCTTTTTATTACATTTTGTGCTTGTTTTGTCTATTCTGTTCTAATAATTCATTACTGGAATTTTATTTTACTAAATATTGATTCTGAGATATATTCCAGGTATTCTTTACGCCATTATACCTTATTCCAGTTTCTTTTGTTACAGTTCATAGCTGTATAAAATATTATTTGACAATGTCAGATTTACCAACAGTAAAGACATGTTTAAAAATATGTCCTTTTAGACATGTCCTTGTTCCGGAATGGACATTTATTTAACATTTATGAAATTGCCTTAAGATCTCATAGTATGTTGGTTTACAAGGTACAGGTGAAGCAATCATTGGACAAAATATGAGTTAACTAGATTAAAACTGAACTGTTTTTATTACATTAATTGGTCATTTTGGATAGTTTTTGATTCTTTTTTGAAATGTTACTACATTTGTATTTGATCATGACATAAAATAGAGTCTTCTACACTCCATTATACCCTATTCTACTTCCTTTTGTTATAGCTCATAGCTGTATAAAATATTATTTGACAAGGTCAGGTTTAAATTTAGTAATTAAAATTTTAAATATGTCCTTTTAGGCATGTCCTGTGTTTCGGAATGGACATTTATTTAACATTTAAGAAATTGCTTAAATGGTATATATATATATATGTTATAAATAATCACAGGAAGTTAATTATAACCTGTGTCTGCCTGCAAGCGCCTCTGTAAACTGGTGCCAGTGAACTGACTCTCGCAACTTTAACATGTGTAGCCTCATAATTATTTTCGTATACTTTTATGTACATCATAAGTAAGCAATATTTAAAGTAAGGTAAGCTATATTATTCAAAATTATATTCTACATAAATTTGATGTGCTTCCCATCATCCTCTTCCTCATGAATAATAAATAGATGAGCAGACCAAAGAGTAAACAAGTGTTTTAGACAATGTATTAAAAAATGTCCTTTCTGATACAAAGCATCCAAATTGCCTATATTTCTATTTATACTGATATAATCTCTTCAATTAATTGTTAATTTAACTTTGAAATACATGAACTTTGGGAAAATATGCAATGGAAGTTCTAGTAGATCCAAAGAAAAGATGCTGTCTCACAAAAATGAATTTTTTTGTTGAGGATATATATAGAAATTTAAAAAGTTGCCATTGAAGAAATGTTTTTCTATTATTTTTATGTCATATGCATGATGCTTTTACAGTAATTTGCTCATGTCAAGTGAAACATACAGCATTAAAGACAGAATTTTCTCTATTTATAACATTGGCAATGTAAAGGTACTTTGTTTCGGAATGGACAATTTTTAACAAGCATCTCAAAAAAGGCCACAGTTAAATGGGTTTTTGTGCACTGGGGTTTTCTTATATAAAAATAAATATCACATGTCCTGGGCTTTAGATTAATATATATTGTAACAGGCTAGGTGTCAACATGTTCTTTTTATGTAAGAGAAACCCAATGTTTCGGAATGGACAAATTTAACGGAAAAATACGGTAGGGTTATTTTGCACTCCATGTCAAGCTCCAGAATCATCACGCAGATTTCATTATTTGATACAAACAATACCAATACATCCAAATAATGATTAGGATGGTTAATTATACTGTATGTTTTATGATATATTTTCTGAAAGTAATTTATTTTTGTTTCGGAATGGACATTTCGTTTAACGGAAATACCAGCATGCCATTAAAAGACTTTTTTTTCTAGGATACACCTCTCTCCTGTTAATATTTAAATTTTTTTGCTTCCACCATACTACTGATTGTTTTATAATCCACAAAAATGCAATGCCAAACACTGTTTTAATTTATTTCATATTGCTTTTTATTTCATACGACTAAAATGGGAAAAATTTTTGGTCATTTTTCGGGCTTTGCTTTAGCATAACTTTGGACTCGGTGGTGATATTTGGTTTCTATTTTCAGTGTTTATCTTCACTTACACCATTCTCTAACATAGTGATAAAAGAATTCTTTGATCATATGTATGTAATTTGTTAATTAGCAATATGTGGGAAAATCTGAAAAGTGCCCAGGATTGTAAAAATGCCCATATATGCATTTTCATCAGTACCAGCAGGTATATGCAAAATATGCTACTTTTTTTCAGCTTGTTGTGAAAAATTCTGCTATAAGCTTGGTGACAGCATCCAGGAACCCTTAAAGATATAGTGTCTGTCTGTGAATATTGATTAACTCTCCATAGATTTATGAATATATGATATATGATTTATGAATATAGATATATGAATAAAAAATGTCATTTATGAAATCTTTCACTAAAAATAAAATCTGTTACCAATAATTTAAGATTTTTTTCTTTTGTAGATTAGAAAGCCAGTGCCTGTATCCTCTTCTAGTCAAGTGCCCATTGGTCTACTTTTTAAACCACCACAGTCAGCCATTGCAAACCTACAGAAAAAAGATTACTTGGGAAAAGCTAAGGTAGTGCTTGCATATATGGTTCTCTTTATTCATGCTTTTCTAAGTGCAGCACCAGTTAAATAACAATTTATTACGTAGGTCAAATATTTTTTATGTTCTACATCAGGAATTAATTCATGGTAATTATAAGGATATTATATTTTGGTTAAGATATTTTACATTTAAGTAAGTTCCATGGATGTTCTCTATAGATTTTGTTTTGTATATTTTGGAAACCTCAGTTTTGCCCAGAAATAATCAGATATTTTGTTTTCCAGGTTGTGTCATGCTTGGAACCAGAAGGTGAAAGTGAAACCTCAAAAGTTGTAAGTGATTTATAAATATTTATATGTTGTACACTAAGAAAGAGTATTTTTTTCTTGCTGAGTCTTGAATGAGAAAAAAAGACACTTTGAAACTTCATTATCAGTGAAAGAAAGATCACTGCTTAACAATAAATATGTAAAATTACATTTATACTTTATATGATTTGTCTATATTTTGTAGAGAGCCCATCCAAATCTGTCAAGGACATCAAGTCACTCTGCACCTAACTCTCCTGTTTCAAGTAGAAAGAATGTGTCACCAAGACCAGCCAGACCCCCTAAGGGACCACATCTGGTGAAAGACTTCAAGTCTGGCAGCAGTACATGTTTGTCATCTAGTGTAAAAGACAGCAGTGATAACATTGGAATTCCTCCACACAGATTTTTACTACCTTTGGGCACGACAAAAAGTAGTTCACATACAGATGTCACCAAAGCTAACAATACCAGTAAAATTTCACAAGATGAAGACACAAAATCCTATGGTGCTAATAGTACAGATACTCGTATCTCAAGACCACCAGTGCCTTTGAAAATCCCGCCACGATTACTTCAGAAGTCTTCTGATAGAAATGTGGCCTCCAGCTTAATTGATAGTCATGGGAAGTGGACTAAGGAGTCTAAAGGGACTTATACTAAGTCTGTCCCTGCTGTGGCAGGCAGACATGCAGAACAAATGAACAAGGTTTCTCCTCTTCAATCTCTATCAGGGAATGGACAATTGGAACGCAATAAAGATATTTTAGAGCTAAAATTGAGGGCAATGTCCAAAGATTCAAATCAAAAAGAAAAGTCCCCTGTTCCACCCAAAAAACCGCCATCATTAATTTCGAAGTCCTCTATAGGTGTTGTCATGGCAACTTTTGAATGTGACAGTGAGACAAGTACTTGGCCATTGAGGAGGGGCAGCACACTACAACAGGCTCTTCAGAAGGCCAGCCAGAAATTTGGATATCCAGAGAATTCTATATCTATATGGTAATAAGAAAGTGGTAGTTTAGTGGTTATTGGATATTATTGACAAAGTTGACGGTAGTTTGTTCCTAGATTGAATTTTATCATCATTTAGTTTTTTTTAATTATATTTTTTCTTATTCATCTATTTTAATAAATTAAATTATTTTTAGTGCAATTATTGGTTAAGGCAGCAGAGTGACTTTATTGGCTTCATTAACGGTGGGTGTGGCCAAAGCATTCAATGCACCTTCCCACAATGAAAGAAGAATTTTCATGAACTCATTATCTTAAAGTCTTTTGTTGGCCATTTTATAACAGGTATAAAGTGGCTTTTTCAAATAACAGTCACAAAAAATTGTTTGGTTTAATGTGTAAGTACCTTGGCAACAATGCAAGTAACAAATTTTCTTGGTTATTTTTTTTATTTAGGTGGCGGTGGAGCACAGTGGAGACCCCTATGTATATTGAAAATGAGGCCAGCATGGCAGAAGTGTGGACAAGACTGCAAGGTGACAGTTTGCATCTTCAGGTGTATGGAAAGCCTTCATCATGACACAGCAGTTTTCATTGTCTATTCATTACTATTCTGGCCAAGATGGGAGGGAGGGAGGAGGCTATCTTGCTTGTCTGTTTTTAATCAATCCCTGACACAGGATTAACATGACTTTGAGATGAAAGAACAAGGTATCTACAAAGAATATAGTAAGATATAATACAAGATAATCCAAAGTGCAGTCTCTTTTAAATGAAATTTTAGATTCTAGGTATGTGACAGCGGTTCATATGATATTGGTATGTCTGGTGGCAGCAATAAGAATTCCCCCATTTGTGGTAGATCAGCTTTAGGTTTAACTTTTAAAAATTATACCATAATACTCAGGAAGTATGTTGGTGTTTTTATTTATAATTAGAATATGTGTATGATGTTTGAGAATCTTTTTTTTTTTTTAATTCTTGTATTTTATGTTTGATGTGAACACTCCTTGTTGTGATAGTGAGCATTATGTTAGGTACTGTAATGCTATAGCTCAACATTAAATTATTTACAATTTTTTTAGGATATTTACTTGAAAAATTCCTTTGAAATAAAATGCTTGAGGAAGTTGGCTTAAATATAATATATTAGTTAGGCTTGCGAATTGTATAATTTTCTGTAAGGTAAGACTTATTAATGAATACATTTTCAAATTGCTTGTCATCAATCAAACTTAGTATTTATTGTGAAATTACATACAGATTTTACTCTTTTTCTGTCAAACATTATTTGATTTTATGTAGTCTTAGTTTTTTAGAGGGTTTTATTATAGTATTTTAATGTTGAAATAGTTTTCTGTTCTTTTGTGTTTAGAGATAATTTATTTTTGAGGGATTGCCATGGTGATAACTGTAGAAAATGCAGTTTTTGTGACGTTTTTGTTGTAGGTTCAATTAGGACCTAGGTAATCTAGCTTAAAGGTGCTTTTTAAAAGTTGGAATGCGGTGTATTCTGGCAAACTCCGAAGAAATTGATGAACTGTAATCAATATTCATGTGCAAACAGAGGGTGGAAACTGCAAAACGAATAGTATTTATTGAAATTTTCTGGTAGAAATATGGTAATTAAACTTACATGATTTACATTATTATTGTTAAAATTGCCAAGATCAGTCAACCCTGTGTAGTTAAAAAGTAAGTGTCAAGGCTTTTGCCCATCAATAAAGCATTTTACAAGCTTTTATTTTTAATAAAGAAGTGAAATCAGGCATATCATCTTTAACGCTTTTTCCTGAATTCATTTAATATAAACATGAGAAATGGTGTACATAAACAATAACAACATTTCATCTTGCGGTTCAAGTTTTATTAGAAAAATCTATTTTAATGCTTTTCTTTAACAGCACCAAATAGGTTCTAAATTATCTGAAACTTAAATTTAGTCAAAAATGACAAAATATGACAGAAATGAGTTGCTGCTCCCTCCTTACAACATCAAACATGATGGCTATTGTACAGATAATAATAAAGTTCTTAAAAACTTAGTCCCACCCCCCTTCTGAGAAGAATTATAAGAATTCATATTCATATGCTTGAATGATAAGGTCATTGAAATGATAAAGAATTATTGTGATCACAGGAAATGAAAAGAAATGATTTAGAAATAATATTCATTAGAAAAAAGGTTGTACAAATGAAATCATATGACATGCTTCTTAACAAAAAAGAAAAATCAGTTGTCTATTTTTATAGGTTAGTGTACATAAAATTGAAGTCGTCTACTCCAAATGGCACTCAACTGTGCTGCGTACTTCAGCTACACATCCTTAGCAACAACATCCAAGGTTTTGAAGCACTTGAACACATGATATTAAATGGCATGAAATGAAAGGTGACTGAAGGATTTTATTAATATGGAAGTGCTGTTTTCTATCCAACAGCTGTCCTCAATGTAATGTTGACCTCATTGGAGATTCCCCTGCGCCCACTGTAGTGTCACCAAACACGTTGGCGTAGGAGTTTTTAAGGAACTGGACGTAATTCTGCATACTTCTGTTTGTACTGTGGGACTGCTCCAGCCTGTCCTTGAGGTCGTATAATCGCGAGTTGAACTTCCTCTCCATCTGGAAAGATGTCATATTATTAGGTAATACAAAGATCTTGTACGATGCAGTTCTCACATTTGACCATGCTGAACACTAATATTCACTATGCTTAGTCTAACAAATATGATTAACACCTTGAGTAAACAGCACAACCAAAATTTCTGATTCAATAAATTGGTCTGGATTTACCATAAGGTTCTTCATTTTCAAAATGTTATGCTTAGTAAATAAACACGAAAGGCAGATAAGCTATACGGTATATTGAAATAATCATATTTATATTATCTGAGGAGTATAATGTAGTAATAATCAACACTGCACTGTCCCATACCTCATCTTTCTCCCTCTTTAACTTAGCTATTTCTGCCCTGGCCTGGCTCAGCTGGGATTCCAATTCCAGAAGCCTGGACTGCATGTTTCTCTCTTTAGTTGTGGCCTTTTCTCTCGCCTGCTCCATCTGCCTCCTGCTGTCTGTGAGAGCTGTCTCCAACTGACGAGTTAGGCTTCCATTTTCACGGATCTTTTCTTCAAGTTTTTGCTTTAAAAAAAATTTCTGGATTTAAATTCTGAAACACACTGCTTTGTCTTCCATTGCCCATTCTAATCTTGTGCTGCTAATCGCATGTTTTAACACTAAAAACAATCCCAGCTCTCAAAACTTAAAATGGCACAGCCATTTTTCTATCCTTACAGACAGAACATCAGACTATAATACTCACTTATAAAAATAACAATCTAAACTTTAAAAAACATTGGAGAGCAATAACAAAATAAGAGGTCATAATGGTCTTAGCTCATGACTTACGTTGGCCTGATGTATAGACTCATCTCTCTTGGCCACTGTGCTCGCAAGTTCTCTACTATGATCATCCGCATCCTGCAACCGCCTGAAAACAAATGCGTTCAACCTTAAATGTCAGCACTAAGTTATAATTTCATATCCTTAGTAATCAGCCAAGTTAGCATTCCCCAGCTTAATGGGTGGAAAACCACCATCAGACAGTAAACAAAGTCAACTATCTAAATGAAAGAACAATTCATACATGTATTTCAACAACTTTTTTTAATTAAAAGTAATAATAAAACTGTACCTTTCAAGAGTGTCCACTTTCCCCCTGAGAGCTCTGTTGTCATCCTCTGCTGCATGGAGTCTGTCCTTAAAACTTTCCACATGCTCAGTCTGGTGCTCCACCTTCACTGTCAGCTCTGCTATAAGTTTCGTATTATCCGTGTTTTTCCTCTCATACACCAGCAGTCTTTCCTGGGCATCCTGCAGTTTAAGTTCAGTGGTCTTCAGCAGCTCAGGGAGAGGCTCCAGCTCCTCTAGCCTTTGCTGGAGGCGCATCTTCACCTAAAACACATGAAAAAAAATTCAATTTTTCCTGCAATCTTTTTCAGGAACTGTCTGACAGTTGTTCTCAAATGCTTGGTTGACTTCCATAAATAATTGAGGATCATCCCTCTTCACAAAAAAAGTAACATAGTATCTTCTATACTAGCAAAGATCTTCTCCAGTACAATCCAAAAGCTTTAAGTTGTAAGAAGACATATTCATATTCTACCTACCCTTTCTAGTTCCATCTCCCCTCCCTTCTGTACACGCCTGGTTTCCTTCTCCTGTTCATCAAGTCTGAAGCTCATTTCATCTTTCTCTCGTTGGGACTTGTTGGCCTAATATTAACAACACCACAGATTTGTTTAAAATTAACTGACCAATAAAATGAAAATGTTTTACAATTCGAAAGCATAACAACACACTGCAATATACTGTGGTCTCACACATCTGGCTATATCATTCAACCAGCTGGAAGCCTTATAAGCCGTCAAAAAATTTTAAAGTATTACAATTCAGTGTTAAGCATGTCACCCAATAGTCTCAATGCTCCACTTCACTCACAACTTACAAACCCATGAAAATATTATATCACCTTTGGCATTCAATGTAATTAAAAGCAATATTCAGGAAGACCATCTTGATTTAATCACTTTGAATTTGTTGTTACACACTTGCATTCATGAAAACTATAAATGAAAAGCCAGCTTGGTGATAAACACATGAAATTATTCAGTTAATACAATATCAGTCTCTTACAATCCCTAATTTTAGAAAACTGGCACATATTACAAACAGTATTGTAAAATCTTTCAAGGAACATCATGCACCCTCTTCCCAAAACCTTCTACTAACAGTGTAAAAATCAAGAGATCTAATAAAATGCAAAACAAAGGTAAAAACTTGAGTATTGTACTGTAACACATCTTGTGGGAACAACCAAAGAACCTCAAAACTTTAAGCATAGCAGTTTGTGGGTGTAATGTCGATATCCTTAAAATGACTACAAGAAATGAAATCTGTGACACCATTAAAATTCAATCTGGCATCTTAAAGGCCTAGAACTTCAATCAAGCACCATAACCTACCAGACAGGCATGTCAGTGGAGAATTTCTGAATGTGCAATTGATTTTAAATGACCAATAACTTGTACAAATATAATTCATTCTTTTATTTTCTATTTTGTGTATTTTCACAGATAAACACCAAATGACATGCCTGTGCAAGCAAAATATGTAAAAACTGGAGTCTCAAAAAGTGAAAAAAAAAAAAATCCTGCAACCAACCCACTGTTTGACCCATGTGTGAAACACCACCGTAAAATAGTCCAAAATGTGTTATATTGACTTAATTGACAAGGAACTGACATGCATAAACTACGGGCAAACTCCAGGCACACTGTGTGCATATACCTTCAGTGATGACATAGGGGCACTGGTCTGTGGAAAAGATAATAGTCTCTTATTCATCAATACATGCAACTAGACATATATTTTAATTACTCAAACAATAAAAGTTATTCAGACCTGTTAACTTGATCATATATTATTAATGTATTGGTAATGTTAAGTTATATAAAATAAAAGCAGCATATTTTATGCAATTATTTCCAAAAGTGCAATCAGATAAAATCATTCATGACAGAAGGATAGTTTATCAGTAATGAGAGAGAAACTGTGTAAACATATTTCCAGATCACCACTGAAGTGCAAGATGCTAAGCACCTGAACACACACGTTCATGCAGCTAGCTTTAAGAAATCATTTCTTTTTGTGCCATTTTATTTACTTGAAGTTTCACAAATATCATAAAAGCACTTACTACAGAAGAGATTTCAAAAGGTACAAATGTTTTATAATAGTTTTGTCCAATGTTTCCTGCTGCTCAACAAACAGCCATCTTAACTCTTTTACTAGATTAAATATTAATTCCAGTTGTCTAATTAAGATAGCACTCACTGGTCTCTCGCCAAAACCAAAGTTTTTGTTTCGAGACCAATATGGGTAATTTACTTTCAAGCAGGATCTCAACTTACCTGAGCTCTGTAGTCTTCTGTCATCACTTCATATTGCTTGATGTTAGTCCGTAATGCTGCCACCTCCTCCTCTGTCTGGGACAGCTTGCTTTCAATTGTGCACATATTAGCCTAAACATGCGTGAAAAAAATGAAATGAAATGAATAAATGAACTGCAAAAAGTGGTAAGAAATAAAATGAGTGAGCAGCATACAAAATTGTGTGAAAGTGGTAAAATAACTGACGTGAAGTCAATTTTAAAAAAAGCATGCTCCAATTCAAACCTAGAGACAAACACAAAAAAATGTCATATCACAATTTTCCTCACTCACCTGAACCTCATCCAACTGTTATTAATGTAATAATTCAACCACCACAATCAACCAACTTTATCTCAGTTCAGGAAAAAGTAATAATTACACTATAAGGTTTTCAAAATCCAAAACTACACAAAACCTTTTAAAATTATGAATAATATCCTAAAATATCCAATCTAAGTTACCAAAAGAGAGCAATCACATCAATAATAAAAAAAGAAATAAGCACCTATTTCTAAGTGTAATATGCAATATAAATGATAATGATTTTTTAAAAATCAAGTAGGTAGGTAATGTTAAGGCCATGGTCCACTATCCCTCACCCTGAGTCTCTCATTGTCCAGTTTCAGAGAGGATACCTCACTGGTCTTGGTGTGGAGCTGGGCGGTGGCAGAGTCCATCTGGACCCTTTGGTTCTCCTCCATTTGTTCTATCTGTGACTCCAACTCAGATATTCTCCTGAAAAAAGCAGGGTTTTTTTCAAGACTTATAACCATGGATGATGCTGAGAACTAAAGAACTAGACAAGATGTATCTTGCATACAAGTCACTTCAACCACTGATGTGTGTTAAAAACATGCCTGGGTCTTTTGTTCTCAAAATCCATTGTAGTATGACTCATATACACCATTTATCACAAGAGTGTTATATGACATCCATGCTTCCTAACTCAAGTATATCACAATACGTCTTCCTGAATCCCCGGTGTCTTTTACTTCCATCCCCCACAAATAATAGTAAGCAAAAGCACAAAATTTTCCCTCTTCCATACACTTTTTAAATCAAATAGTAGGATGATCATAATGATCATTTAGGATTCACACATTCCTCTCTTCTCTCCCTGACTCATTTTCTACACCACACAGCAGAGATCACAGTGTCCCCAGCATCCACAACACTCACGTTTTCAGTGCCGAGTTTTCTCCCATCACTTGGGACTTTTCCTTTGACAGTTTCTCCACCCTGGACCTGATGTTCTCTAGCTGTGCCTCTAGGTCTGCTGCCTGAGCCTCCTTCTCCAGTAACTGGGAGTTGATCTGCTGGACTGTGTCCTCACTCCTGGCTGCCCTCTGCTTCTGAACTCTGCAATGATTATAAAACAGGAGACCCATAATAACACAACAAAACCTTGGGCTTTATTCACAAGAATAAGAAGCATCTAAATACACTGAAGCCAAGACTGGAGAAAAAAAAAATCTGAATTCCAGTGACAACATTCTCAATATTTCTCTTCACTTATTACAGAAAAGAAAACTAAATAATGCATTTATTCATCTCTGAAAAGAAAAAAGTAATAAAATATTTTCAGTCAGAATGAATATTAATCTGTCATACCTGGTTGCCTTTTTGAGTGCCTCTTTATCTCTCTCTGCCTTCTCCTTGGCAGTCTGCAGTAACTCCTGCAGGTGATCTACTTCAATCTTCTCCTGTGCCAGCTGACTCTCCAGACCCTGTAATACACTGAATCATATCACATCACACCCATCATATATCTCCCTGTCATAACAACTATTATCTTAAAATTTGTTATTATGATTAACCCAAATCTAAGCGAATCCTGTTAAACAACCGAAAAACATACTTCTAATCAATCAACAAAAAGTTAATAAGATATATCTGCCTGTAATCTTGCACCATATATATATATATATATATGCTATGAACTTGTAAATACCACACTATTCACTGCAATGTATGCCTCAGTTGTAAAGTATCCCATACCCTGATTTGCACTGCCATTCTATTGCAGTCCGACTCCTTGACCCTTAGCTGCTTCTGCAGGTGTGCCCTAGTCTGCTCCAGGGAGGACTGCATCCCTGAGATAGCCAGATTTTCCTCCTATGACAGACAGAGAGAGAGAGAATGAGAAATACAGTAGAGAAAATTCACAGATTTTTATCAGCTGTGTTATGCACTCAAAGGTTCAATAATATTTTCTTCAAGCTACAACTGAGATCAGAGTTGTATACACTCCAATATTTCAGTGGTGAACAAGACGCCTTCTTCAGGGGAAGAGACTGCAGGGGTTGTTAAACATTTTATAAACAAAGACATACCTCATATGAACACACTGATATTTACAACTGACAGCAAAGCTATCTCATCTTTTATTATCTTTTAAAGGTCACTACAGTCTGCCAGCAAAAAGTTTAAATAATCACAATCATCACTTCATTTCCATTATGAAAAAAAAAAATAAATAAAATAACTTCCTAGCCTCATCAGTACACAGAGGATGGGTAACACAAATCACTCATGTGTCATGTTGTTGCATATTCTTCATTTTAATTTGACCAAAAGTTTTTCTACGCTGACCTTCTGGTTGTCCAGCTGTCCCCTTATCACACCTATCTGTCTGTCCTTCTCCAACAGATCTACACGCAATTGCTGGAAGACAAGAGAATGTATCATTTAAATTTCATAAGCTTTTGCTAAAGATTTGTTCACCAATATCTCTTAATATATCAGTGCTACAAAAGCAGTAGGACACAAAAACAGACTCATCTGCTGTAAAAGATGGTTCAAATTTACCTTTTTATTAAGAAAGAATTGACTGCATGTGTTTGTGTGCATACACATGCATTTGTACACACACACACACACACACACACACACACACACACACACACACACACACACACACACACACACTCGAATGATCTAAACATAAAAGGTATTACCACATTGTTTCCTATTCTCAAGATCAAGTACCTGGTTGATAGCATCAGACTCCCCCAGCTTTTTAAGCAGGATATCCCTCTGCTCTGCCACCCTCATGTTTTCTGACTCATCCTTGTGTTTCTCTCTCAGGAGCCTACGTAGAGTTCTATTGGTGGATTCAAAATCTGTCAGTTTTTCCATCAGCTGTTCTTTCTGCTTTGCTAAGGCAGCACTATCAGATGAGGAAATTCTCTTTTCCTTTAAAAGTTAAAGACATGAAAATTATTTGACATTACAAAGTGTTTTTACAATTATTGTTGATTTAGAGATCCATGTAACAAAACACGAGGACAGATACAAATTTAATAGGATTAAAAACAAACTGTGGCACAAGTAAATTGTATACAACATCAATTAAAAGGATTCCTTATTTGACAGAATTATTCCACTGAAAAAAAGATGCTCCCCATGAAAAGTTTTATGCAATAATACCAAATGTACATGTTTAAAATAAAAATCAAAAGATTAACAGAGGGAAATCAGCAAAAGAAATTAAGACAGACAGAAAACTCAAATACATATGTAAGCGACAATATTTTTAAGCTACTCAAACCGTTTGAATTACAAAACAGCTCCCCACCTCTCTCAGTCTCCTGACCATGTCCCTCAGTTCGGACATCTGTTTGGCGGCTGCCTGACCATCCATCTCTACCTCCACTAGTTTCTTCATTAACATGTCCTTCTCCGTGTTCAGCACTTCCCGCTCTGACCTACAAACATGCAGATTGTGAGCTTTAGGTGGACAACTCTGTGCCAAATGTACTTGGTGTGTTTATATGTAACTCAGTGAAAGTGTGTAATTCTGTAACTTACTGAGTAATAAAATCTAAAATAATTCTCATATTTTTTTGTTGCATTTACTCCTGCATAAAAAGTGATGTGTAACTCCTTATGCAATTGCTCACATCTGTGAATTAAACTCATCACTTACCTTGTTCTACATCTGAGCATTCTAAGACAATATACACAAGTTCATGAACTCTTCTTACAATTTTTTACAGTTTGCATAATTGTAAATTTACTTATTAAGCATTATCATCAAATAAATAACATTTTTGGATAGGAATTGCTTAGGGCATCTTCAGATAAAATGTATCCAATTTAAAGTAAGTTCAGCATGACAATCTTAAGTATTTACTTGTTGAAGTCCACTTCCTCCTTAAGCCTGTCCATGCTCTTTTTAAGGATTCTGTTTTCTGTCTCTGAGGCATTAAGTTCTCTCTTGTAACCCCTCAGTTCTGTTTCCTGGTCAGCCATAACTCTACGGGAGGTCTCCAGCAAGTCATCTTTCTTTTCCATATCACGGAGAGTTTTCTGAAGCTCCACCTATAAATTAAAAAAAAACAAAAAAAAAAAAAAAACTAATGTTACCAGTTTTTGTTACAATGAATGTATTGGTCTTAATAGTAATTGTATGACATATATGAGTTCAGAAAATTTTAATGACTTCAGCTATTAGTAACCAATGACTTATTGAGAATTAATTCATTCTGGAATAATTCTCACAATTAAAATTTTTTTTCAAATACAAGTAAGTGACTTTACACATGCATCAGAAAGTAATGTATAACTTTAGGATGCAATTGTTTACATGAAATAAATCACTTACTTAGTTTAAGTGTCATAAGGATTAACATTAACCGACCTCATTTTGCAGTGTTCCAACTTCAGTCATAAGACTGTCTATTTTCTTCTCATATCCCCTCATGTTAGCGTGGACCCTCTCCTCCTCATCAGTGTCAAGGTCACTCATACGCATCGTGCCGTGGACAACATCATCGTCTCCCCTGGGTGTGGTGATTTCAAGTCGATGAGAAGGACCCTAGAATTCATAAAAAATAAGTGACTAGCTGATTTGGATTTTGTTATAAAGGTGCTTTCATTCTGTCTATGAGTTTTGGATTTAGAGAAAAAAAGGGAATTCCTAACAAATGTAATGAAATGTATCATCATAATTAAATTATGTGTTTCGTGAAATTTAGGGGAATGGCAAAATATAAGATTGTAACCCTTGACTACAATTAATCAAGTTGACAGGCCAAATGAAAATTTAAAGCAGTTTGGGGACTATGGAAATATTTTTTAAAATACTATTTGGAATCCCACTGAATTTTTACCTGCCATGCTAATGACTTGAGGCTGGACCTTGAAGTTCTACCAGGAGGAGGAACCCATGGTCCCATCAATGGACTTTTACTTCTTGCTCTTGAGGAGGCAGTGCTATGCCTTAGATTTCCTGAGCTAAACGTTTTTGATCTGCTTTCTGCTAGCCTCTCCTAAAAAATTCAATAAGACAAATTGTAAATGTATGAAAATGAATAACAGACAATCAGGATGCTAAGCCAAAATACAGTTCTCTTAAAATTAAAAATTAATCTTTAAAAATGTAAAGATCCTGATATGTATGACACTCTCAGAATATAATACTGGTATAATATGAGAATAATATACACACATCTACAGCTCGGGCAGATGCACTTTTCTTTGGTTTTTTCACATGTACATGAACAGGTGTCTCATCTTCCACATGGACATGCACAGGTGATGTTGTATGCAGTCCATCTCTTTCTATTGTCATCCTACAAGAAAAACAATATAATATTATATTTGTACTATTACAATAAATAAAAACTAGTACATACTTTGAGTGTAGGTTTCTGTTTTATAAACATTTGGCAGGTTACATCACTTCTCAGTCTAATCAAGGCAGTAGACAGCAATATTGAATGTAAGTGACAGATGCACAAATCATTAATATCTTGTGGAAGACTGTGGTTCATAAAGATTTGCAAGTAAATGGGAGAAATCAATATAAAATCACTTTGCTTCACTCACCCCATAAAATTGACAAAATAATACAACCAGAAGATATTCATAGCATATATAATTTTAGTGGTTGGTAATTTCTGTAACCATCAGTTATATCAATTATCATCTACATTATTTTGCTTAGATCTACGCTGCTGCCGGTAGCCGTGGTTAATACACTACAGGTAAATAATGTAAATACCTGGGCTGGGATCGTTGAGAGACATTTCTTTTCTAGCTGTCTGTGATATTTAATCAAATAAGAACCTAATTCTTACCTGAAGATGAACTGATTATTGTAATCTTTCTATCCAAGTATTATATTAAGCTGTTATGAATAGCTTGCGACTTAAAAGCACTACTGAGAGCAAGTAGCCCCGTTTTCCGTGTAAAGAGGTCGTATTATGATGTTCAAATGGACGCGGTTTACACGCTTCTGATTGGCCAAAAGATTTTGACGTCATAATTAAGTCTCTGGGGAGTTTTCTTAAAAATGTTCAAAGATTATCTATTTTATTGGTTGAAAAGGCATCAAAATAAAAACAGTATTTGTAAAGAACATATTGAAATTATTAACATTGCAATAATATTCATATTAATGTAAAAAATTACAAAATTTCAGAATTTATCCAAATCGAGGCCACAGAGGCCACAGGAATTCCAAGATGGTGAACAGTGCAACAGGTTCTCCCTTAAAAATCAAAACATTGTAATAATTCATGAGAATGGGACTCTGAACGTGAGTATTAAGTCTTAGTACGTGACAATATAGATCTGTTATAATTAATGCACGTTAAAATATAACAATTGCTAAAGGGATAGATTCACAGTTTGCGTTTATCTGGAGGGGATGAAGTTGCTGTCAGTGTCAGCACAGACAGATTTATCTTGTCGACACTGTTGTTATGTCACTTGTCATCGTTACGTTCTGTGATTTATTTGACTTGACACAGGAGCGTTATGAGTTCGGACTCGATGTGTAGAATTTTACACCGCCTTTACTTGATGGCCAAATTAAGTTGTATTTTTTCCTGATTACAATCATTTTACAATTCAGAGCAAATTGTAATTTGATTTCTGGTATTGTAAATAATCACTAGCTTAAGATATTTTTAGCATAAGCAAATTGATCTTAAACATGGACTACAAAGAAACGTAAATAGATGCTGTTTTCTGAAGCAGAATGTCTTTTCAATCAGCTGATATCTTATCTTTATTTGATTTTATAATAATTAAAATATCTAGAATGATTTCTGATATTATTTACCCAAACCTTTATATTAATTCTCCAGGTTCCACATTCTTGCCAACTTGTGTAACTGTGATATAACAGCATGCCATTCTACCATGGTCTGAGGCGAGCCATTCTGGACCGAGATCTCCAGGATGTTCAGAAGTGGCTGGATAGGGGCGTTGATGTGAACAAGAGGATCTCAGACTCTGGGGTGACGCCCCTCAACATGGCTATGTATATGGGGCACATAGGAGTGATACAACTGCTGCTGAGGTACTGTAGAACATACTTAAAGATATTTTATTGTGACATCAATTCTCCTTGAAGGTGTTTATAAATGTTTCAAAAACTTTTAACTTGTATTGAAGCTTCTTATCCTTCCCAATTTAGACTTCAAAATTATAAAAATTCATATTAAAGTACTTTCCAATTTAGACTTTAAAATTATAAAAATTCATATTAAAGTACATCTTTCTGCATCTTAGAACCTCACAGTGTCTAAGCCTTGGCATCTAGCAATTTTACTTTAGCGCATTTAGATGATCTTCATAGCAAGTGTTTAGAATTATTTTAACTCCTAAAGAAGACCATCTTGTAACAGTTTCAAGAAGATAAAAGACATGTACTTTGTTGAATATGTCAGCCAATTTCATCATTGTATTCAATCTGCAATGCTAACACTGGTCCATATTGTCAGTAAAACTGAGGCAGGCCTATAAAATTTTGCAAAGATGTGCCTTTTAGGGAGCCTTTTTCTGTTATGGATAAGTCGGTTCTTATATCTTGGTGTCCAGAAGGGCAATCGGGCTAATAAAAAGCCATAGACTGATTGTACACCTAATTTGTTTCAGGTATGGAGCTGACCCCAACCAGAGAAGTGTGTGTAGGGACTCAGAAGATGGAGAAGAGGAGTACCCCATTATGGTGGCTGCTAGATTAAGGTAGACTCCTGTACTGATGAATCCACATCAGCATAATATATTATTTGTATGGTTAATCTTTTACCTAGGAAGAATACTTTTCTTTGTCACTTTAAAATCTCTTTATAGGATATCCGGAAAATTTTTGAAAAATTATGTGACCATAATCAAAATGAACCAAAAGATTTTAAAGCCACTGGGTTTTGTGCTGTGTAGCTCTGTGAAGTCTGATCTAACATGTGTTACCATAGCACGTGATTCTTTCTACTTACCAGAAATGTCAACTTTGCTCAACTGCTGATAGACCATCATGCCCTCGTGAATAAAAAGGACTCTGCCAGCCTGTCTCCACTTTATTATGCTGCCATGTTGGGGAACAGCCATGTGGCAGCTCTGCTGATTAATTCTGGAGCAGATGTAAGGGTTACTCTTCTCCACTATTGATTATATGTAAAGATAAAGAAACCGCTCCCAATTTAGGTGGGGTGAGCAGATTGGTATTTGTACTACCTTAGCGGGAAAACATGGAAATGGAATAATTTGTTTGAAATTTCAATGATATCTGTTTTCTGTCATTTCTCATTTTGCTAATCCTGCATATGTCTTTACATGTCAATGAAATCAATGTAGTAATATTCGTTATTTGATTGAGTGATTGATTTTATAATTTTTTGTGCAGCTTAATCTTCCTGTTGGCAAGCTGGATGCCACTGCATTGCAAGCTGCTGTACAGCATGGTCATCAAGGCATGGTCAAATTGCTATGTGATAATCAAGCCAAGGTAGATAGTTGTCCATAGAAATCTTATATATGAATTGTAAAATGAATCTCCTATACAGCTAATACAATTTAATATATGAATGTGATATAAATCTGATTATGTGGGTGACCAAACGTGATTGAAAAACGAGAGCTGACAAAGAGAATATTTTATTTCATGTTATGGATCATTATACTGATACTCGCAGCTAATTTAATCCAAAAAATCTTTTTTTTTTCTTTTTTACAATAATGACATAAGTAATACTTCCTTAATTACTTAATTAAGTGATACACAATTAGAACATTCTTCATTACCAGGTTAACTCCAGAGATAAAGAGGGCAACACTCCTCTACACTGTGCCACAGACAAGAGTCTCAAAGCCATGGTACAATTGATGGAGTGTAACGCCAATCTAGAAGCAGTGAACCTTCAGGGCCACACTCCCCTGGTTCATCTCATAAAACTAGGTCACTACAAGGCCGCCATGCTGCTGATTTCTCATGGTGCCAATGTGAGGTTCATGACAAGCATTTCAACACAAGACTTACCAGTCCAGGGTGCATTTGGTGCCGACATCTTCATGGTGGCACCTCCTTCCACACACCTGCCCCCTAGTGTCATGAATTTAATCCACATGGTGGTATTAGGTGGATGGGACAGCAGGCAGCTGCTGAACATCATGCAGTTGCAATACCTTCAGCTGAGCCAGGATGGTAGTTTGAATTTGAATGACTTGAAAACCTTTTGTGATTGGTTGACCAAGTTTAACGATGAGCCAATGGCACTCAGAGATCTATGTCGTATCTCTATTCGTGCCAATTTGAGAAAGCATACTGGATTTAGGAGTATTGTTAAAAGTGTTAAGTCTCTTCCATTACCTATGTTGATGCAAGAGTACCTTTGTTTTCAGTAATGAGTTACTATCTGATTTTATCTCTATTGTTTTTTCATATAAGTGCAAATATGTATTTTGTTTGCTAGATATTAGTTATATCACTTAAATTAATTGTCAAGCCTTTAATGTTATTTTTTAAAAACATAAACATAAGAAGTCTAACAAAGACTATGTCAGAACGTCATTTTTTCCTGAAAAGAAGTCCATTTTGAATGGTTAAATAAGGGAAACTAAAGACTTTCTTGAAGAATGATAATTATTGTCATTATTGCTTTTAGGCCCATTACTTCCAAATTTTTTGCAAAGTACAATTTCCAGACAAAAAATAATGCACATGTATGTCAAAAAAAAAAAAAAAACTTTTGTTTTTATTGAGGGAGGAGGTGGGGGGCAATTACCAGGCATAAAAACTTTATTGTTGTGTGATCTCTTCATACATACTCAATAACTTGAAGTAACGTTTTACCTCAAAATTTTTTTGACTGTGTATATTTTAGTTTGTATATCTGTTTACTCACCCTGTGATAGATTGATTATACAGTTTTAAAAGTGTGATGGAATGGGGTTTGCTATTCATACAAATGTATAATATCTAAATTATATAAATATACAAGTTGGTGTTCAATTTTATCAGCAAACTCACCTGGAAAAGGATATTTTTACAGTATATATTATTTTGGGCATTGTTACTTACTGTAGAGAAATCGGAAGTATATTTTTGTCATACAGAAATCTTATATGGAAAAGGATTTTTCAAATATAGTTTATTTTTTGCATTATATTGCAGTGGCTGGTACATAATCTAGTAAATGCTAATAATTCCGCTATATCAGATCGTATGACATAAAACTTGACCACAGAAATATTTTCTTGAAGGTATGTTAGTTGGAATTTTATGGAAACCATGTTTTTTACTTGCGTGGTGTCCCTTGCCCTTGTTCGTTAAGTTTTTTATTACAGTTTTTTTTTTTCGTTTTCTTTTTTCCTTTTTTTTGCGTTAAAAAAGGAATGGCTGGTTGGTTGTGTAAAACATTGCTGAATTTTGTCAGCGTTTTTACAATATGATATTGTAAACAATTTTTTTCAACTCTGAATAAAATCTCGTTTTATATTTTAAAATCGCCAGATTTCACGGGTAGCATTTTGTTTCCAGTATCAAATTGACAATTTTCTCTCCCTACAGAGTTTAATTTAAACTATAATATAATAGCGGTGTAATTGAAATTCTGATCAATAAATGTTTGGGTTTCTTTTATAAAAATACGTGTTTTACAAACAATATGAACTACAGTAACCAATATAACCTAGAGTCAAGAACAAGTGAAGCCATGTAGAGCGGAAGTTTCCTCCGTGCAGAAGGCAGGATAACTGCATGTAACTTGGAGCTTATGATCTTGGATTCTTATAGTTTGCGGGTCCTGGATTTTACATCTTTGTTCTATCCTCTCTCTGGAGATCGTAGCTGTTACAAAACTGGACGACAGTCTTTTAACTAATTTTTTAACAGGTGGAGAGATAAAGGTTAATTGAATAAAGTATATTACATGTACATTAGTGGATGTGAAACTCATTCCAACACTTCACCAAGGAATACCGTAATAGCTGCGACAATCAGACTGGAGAACGTAGTATTTGTCGTCACGTCATCCCTTTGTTCTGGATATAACTTGCTGTTCAATACCCTCATGCTAAGAGTGATTTAATAATAACAAACTGAATACAAAGGTCCAAGTAGGCGGGTCTGGATTGACCTTCCCAAAATATCTAAATACAAGTAAATGTTTTTTCGTCCAACTCTTTTACCGTCGTCGTTGGATTAAATGTAAGTCTCGGGATGTCGGTCTGTGGAACAGATTCAGTTGGAAGCGGTAACATTTCTTTTTCTTTTTGTAAATCTTCCACTTTGGTCGATCGATTAATTTGAATTGTTGTTCCGATGATGTTTCAGCCAATATGCTTTGCGGTCAAGTAAAGTGTCGCTGAGATTTGTGAACTTCACGAAAAGCGAGTTTTTGTTCCTGGTGTGTCTTTCTGCCATTGGAACTGGTTTAGAAGCATCTGAACCATTACTTCCTCTTACGTCGCTCTCTGTCCTGAGGTTAAGGCGAAATATGTTCTCGATGTGATTTATAGTACTTCCAGCGAATCTATTGCTTTTGTGATTGAGAATGTATAATCCCGCTAAGAAAGTTATGGCGAGAGGTACACAAACACACACAGTAGCATCCTTTTCGAGACTTGTATATGTTCTCTTCAGGAGACGACCGAGGAAGCTGCAAAAACTGGCGACAATCATGGCGTTCTTCTTTCACTTGGATTTTACTCTCAGGCCACTCCAAGAGATGTCATTATAAGACGAACAAAACGAGATCTTTGAGCATCTTCCTCACTTTCCAGTTTGCTTTCGGCTGATTATGGATTTATAAAAATGGTGACGGTTAGTCGGAAATAATAGGTGGCGCAAGCTAGCTGTTTGTTTACATAAGCTGCCATAAAAAAGACCCCCGCGACTACAGCATATCGACCCGTGTTTACAATGCACACTGTATCGGCGCTGACCCGAGATGACACATATTTAACTAAAAATAGCTGCATGGTATTTCTACCCTCTACCAGGGTCACAGAATGATTTTTATGAAGATATTCACAAATATGTCTCCGGCGGTAATTCATGACACGATTCTCTGACCTCACAATACAGAAAAGTGCACATAATTCGCCAGAGACATAATCTCATACCTGTGTACCGGTATATCAAGTGAAAAAATTCTGTGGCCCTGGTAGAGGGTATGATACTACTACATGTGGGTAATGTTTTGAAATGCAGAAAAGTGAAAAAGTTTAAGGACAAACTGTTAAATTGAACTTTTATATAAAAAAAGTCGACAAAAACGAAATATATGCTGTCTATAAGAACAAGGACTTTGTATTTTAACCATTGTAAGTGCAGATTGGTAATTGTAACAGTAATAGGTCATATTGACTTCTTTGGGTGGGGTTATTGACCTGAAAAAAGTTCAACTGCACACGCTTTGGAGGATACATTGTATCAATTTGTATTTCTCGTATTGCACGCATCTGTGGACCAAAATTCTTTTACTTTGCCTACGTCACATGCCTAGTTATTACTCCGCTTGAGAAAATCCTAGAATCGGAAATTAAACTGAATGTTCATCCCAAGCTCATTTGCTTATTGCATGACAAATTTATTTCAAGTTCTGAGACATCATTTAGGAAGTGAAATTGTAAGTTCTTTATTTGCTGTGTATTGTAAAGCGTTTCTGTCGCCAAAGTACAGTGCTTGCGGATGAGGTAGATTTTTCTGGGCTACATGACGTCAACACAGAAAAAAAAATGGATAGTTACACTATTTCCTAACGTTGCAAATCCCTTGCTAAGATTTTTTCTTATCGTCTCATTGAATACTTCTTTCATGCAACATTAGACCGAGCTGTTGAGAATGTACAGAAATAAATAGTAATAGTAAGTTAGTAACAATACAAAACGTTTAACAAAAAAAAAAAAAAAAAAAAAAAAAAAAAAAAAAA